TTCCCACGTATAACGCTTATTTTAGTTCTTCATTTTTAGTTTGTTCATAATTAAACCTAAATATCCTAAAAGTTTAGTTGACGATTTATTTGTTCTAAATTAGTTTTAGGATTTCTTTTAATGTTCATAATTAGAATATGGAATTGTTTTAAACATAATGTGTGTTAAATTTATGAATAATTCTAAGGTTAAGTTAAACGTAGGTATAGTGCCATGTTTTTTACTTTTTTTTATTTATACTAATAACACAGCAACGCAGAATATTCAGAGTCACACACAAGAACAATAAGAGCGTGCAATAAAACTGATAAAAAATAAAATACGCATAAGTAAAGCTAGTAAAATATATAAAGTTGACTGTTATTCATAGATAATTAAGTTTTTTTAAATATAAAATGAATAAAGCCATATTTCGTAACAAATGCTTTTTATTTTTCAAGTTCACAAATAGAGCCGAATTTGTTCAGAATTAGGTAAAAATTGTTCACAATTAGCTCCGACCCCCAATTTCCGTTATAATTCGATTTTTTAAAGTTATTTGTAACTTATATGACAAAAGATTACTCAGGATATATACATAAAGTAATCCTCTATCCATTTTGATTAACATGTACACTAATATTGTTTTTTATAAAGTGAAATTCGCTAAGTGTTCATCTACTGGGCTCACTACCTTATTCTTAAATATAAATACCTATGCAAGTTTAACATTACGATGTCATTTAGCCATCGTATCACCGATCAGCCAAGTGTAAAAATAAGTTTTCAAGAACAAGATAACCTACTGCATGCCCGTGAAATTCTTATAAGTCGACAAAAAACTGATGATTCATGATCATGAACACGTTTCACTGTACAAGTCGGAGCCCGGAATTCAAGGAACTGTCGTCGATGTGTGAGTTAAACATTTACTCACTAGATTTGACGAGGGTTAATTTAATGTGTTCCTCGTTTATGTTACACATATCATAAATTTAAAAGGTGTGCCAGCTTTATTTTCTTTCAATATCATATCTCATCTCATAACAATTTGATTTGAAATTATTTAAATAACAATGTGCTGGCAAATATCACTATATTATTTCCAGACATCATATGAACTCCAAATGTAAGGTGTGTCTAAGAATAGAATAATTATATACGATAAAAACATTGGAAACTGGAATAAGTACGTCATCAGAATAAATAAAAGAACTCTGACGTCACTTCAGATTTAACGGGAGAATAACAAAAAAGGTAGCTGAAGGAATGGAAAGAGAAGATCGAATAAATGACAATAAACAAAGCTAAAATTCTTTAGTATTAGTAACAAAAACAGACAAATTATACTATACGGTCAATTCAGTAAAGAATGGGATACTTATAATAAGACATTGGACAATCTAATACTAACGTTTATGTAGTTAGCTACATAAACGTTCTGAATACACCATTCTGAAGAATCGCATCTCTGAGAAAAAATCAAAATTAGGTAAACAATAAGGAGATGGGTTTAAACATTATCGTACATACGCCTTAAGAAACGGTATGAAACATACGTATGTATTTTTCGCAATGGTGGGGTAATTAAATATAACTCTATTTGAAGCTGCGACATTGATAATTTCTAAAGTTAATAATGATGTTACACGTGCACGCCACGAGCGGCGATGCCACACGTCGGAAGCTGTGTCGGGTGGTGTAATAACATTATCGTCACCCAACCCAGATAACGTTCATGACATTTTAGCTCAAAGTTATGTCACTGAAAACAAACTAAGATAATGTAAAAACGTAAATGGTGGTTAATAATGGTTGGAAACATAATAAGAAGAACATGAAACGCACCATGTTTCATAATTTATGAACTTCCTAGTTCGTCGTGAAGTGGCGTATTACGAGTATGTAAACGGGTCTACGTAGAAATCCAACTTTTTTACTTAAAGATAATTCATTAAATGGATAAAGAACAAAAAAAATACCAAATTCGTTACCCATCATATACCTACGTACGTGCGAGCAAGAAGATTTTGATAGGTAACTAGAATTAGTACATCAATATTTTCACTCACAATCACGTAGGTAGGTAAAGTAAGCATAACAAAATCAAAAGAAAGTAAGAAAAATCTTATTATATTTTTATTCTATAAGTACTCTACTAAATAAGGTTCTGAATAATAAATCACTTTTATTTATTAAATAAATTGTGTAAATGACTCGGCACAATTCTTGATTGAAAAAGTTTCCTAAAAGCATAATATAATTTCCTAGAATTGCTCACTGAAACTCTGTAAATCAGATTTATTTTTAGTTACTTAGGTAGGATTGTGAAATAGTATGTTTTTTTGCAATTGAATTAGCAGTTAGAAGCAACGCGGAAATGGAGGTGAAAGTGGGGTGAAAGCGGCGCGCGCGCAACGTTTACCTAATCACAACGCAGGCACGGCGGGCGGGCGGCAGACCCGCGCGCCAATGTTACATCAGCGACCACGCCGCGAATGTGAAAGTCAATGTTACATTCGATCATTGGGGACGCTTGCTTGTCGACGCATTTTACTGTTGTCCAAATCAAGATGAGTTACGTATGCGCAATGTGGTAAAAGGCGCCGACAATAACGAGCAACTTTTTTGGAATCTGCACAACTGATTGACCTTGGAAGTTGCGACTGTAGACGAGAGATTTTATTATGATATTATTCCAAATCTTTAAGGTCGATTGTAAAATATTTCACAGTTCGAACTAAATTACTGGAATTTGCTTAGTCACTAATAACAATTACGATTCGATCGATTCCGACGGAAGAATATAAATAAAAATAAAATAAATAGATAAAAATTAATTTTTCACACAAACACCTCTTGTTGTTTTCTATGTGAATATGTTCAATCCTTAAAAGAAGTTCTAGACATTTCTTTAATTGTATTTTTAAAATCCCATGCGAAACCACCGAAAGTCTTTTTGGTGGAGTTTCAGGTCAGACCACAGGACAAAACATCAAATCTGAAAAACGCTACCATGAATACGATGATGATACGACAGAAAAACTGAGTAGGTATCTAAGAATTCAATAAGAATTAAATAACATTTACACTGGAAATGAGTCACTGCGCATGGTAAATTTGGCGAGCAAAATCAGTCGTCGAGAAAGATGATTCAGACAATCCTTTGGCTAAAAATGATTGATATTAACCTTATAACTCTTTGAACTTAGTAAACCTGTACTAATGAGCACCGAGGAGCATTATATCATGAAACACGGCATGCTAGAGAAAGTGTCCGAGTGTTATCGAGCCCATTGTGATAGCCGTATCTATGTGGGTCGCTGTAAGAATTACTAGTGCTAACTGCTCTTATCTCTATGTAATTATTTAGTTAACATATTTGTTTACATTCCGTACGAATCGTCCGATCTTTATACTTTGTGCCAAGAATAATTCAGCCCCATTCTGATTCATGGCATCTTAAAGGTATTGGTCCACCTAACAAACTGAAGATAATTCAGATTAAATAATTGAAACAACATTTCGTGAGCACTGTGTTTATCTTTGAGCATGAGTATTTGACAAAGCTAACACCTATAACTTAGGTGTATCTATTTCAAATAAACCTCTACCTTATCAAGACATTCCGTATCCTTGACCCAAAAGACGTTACAGTGATAGGTAGATAAAATGCGAAGTGGCCTACTTACAGCCGATCTATATCTACTGTACAATTGAAATATTACAACAAGAATCTCGATTAGTTGGCCAATTAACACAAGTCACGAAATGCCACTTAACATAGCACAGCCGATACTCAATTATAATTAAATAAAAATATTGATTCAAAATCCAAATCAACATTTTATTTTTCGTGGCAGGTTAACTTTCTTTAACTAGTAAATGATTTGTTTCAAACTACGTGTAACGAGCGTCTTCCTTGTATCGTCAATCAGCACAGCAGTAGGAAATATGGTTCGCCCGCGAGCCTCCTTGACCTACTTTGCCGTACCAGTATACCCACCTCGCGAGCGCAACTGTAAGTTCGCGATGCAATCGTTTTCTCTACGTCTACGACTACGACCGACGCGCGACGGTCCGCCCGAACAGAGAACGGATAAATTTCACGAAACTAACCAGCCGTAAACCATACTTTTACCTTGTATAGAAATTGCTATACACCACTTGGATAAGTTTTATAAATAGAATACTCAACTAAATACCAGCGCAATAAGTCATAAATAATAAAAGTTAAATAATGTCATTAACAACAATTAGGTTACTAAGAATACATTATAGATACTACCTACGCCAGAGAAAAGTGATAGTTCATAAAAAAGACTGTGGAATCTTGTAAACCCAAAGAAAATAAAAGATTGGCAATGCAGAGAAAAATCTAAAATCAAGTGGAAGAAAAAAGTTACGAACATGAAATATGGTTATTGAGAAGACAGAGCAAAAAAAATTACCGAGTGTGCACAAGCAAAATTTTATCCTTGCGGGATGTTGAATCGGTTGTCTGCAGATAAAACAAGAGAGCTTAAATTTTCATAAGATCTAAAATTAGTGAACTTGCTGTTGCTGCACACGAGGTCGAAATACGCGTCAGTCAATTCGTAAAGATGGCGCCCCTATGGTCGCGATCTCATTGCCTCATTAACTTCACAACCTTGTTCAACAATTCACAATGAGCAATTTATCTATATACGTGTAGCGAATACAATCAGAAGGCCAACAAAGAGTGTAGCGAACGTGAGAATTCTTGGGATTTTTCAAAGGAGCACCTGCTTGATTGCTGGGATTCGGATCAGATTGTTTAGTTCTAAAAACAAGGAGAACTGGCAAGTTTTTGACAACGAACGCGTATCGGAATTTCGACTCCTTTACCTAAAAATAGTAGTAAGGTATTCTTAAACCATTTAAAGTTCTAAAGATTCATCAAACCAAGCACTTTGTTAATAATGAAGTAAAATTAGTCATCTATATGCAGGATAAATGTAGAAAGGTAATTAGGTAAGTACTATTTAATAGATACTTACAGAGTCCATTAAACGGCAATCCAAATATTAAACAATCCAATATAATAAATCACAATGATGGTTCACTTCACTTCTTTAAATTCAAAATCAATGCCAAAACACTAAATAGATGATCTCACACATACACGAGGATCACTGCGAATTCACTAAAAGTTTCTTCAATAAAAATCTTATTTATTACGATTATATAAAACTCCACACACCGTATCTGGGTTCACACCCAGATCCAACTCGGTACCTGTAACAAGACAAAGCAATCGTAAGTTGTATGACAGTTTTTCCAATTCTGTTAACAAAGTATACTTTTTATACGCAACAATATTGAATGTAGTTAAGTACATGTTACTCACAAGCTGTAAATTAATTTTGGAATGAGCACTAAATGAAGTATGACGTAAAGAATTGCTAAATAAGTCACTTATGAAACGTACACTTGACTCGCCGACGAAACGCGGACTGACAGGCTGGCGCAATGGGGGGACAATGTGAGGGGGGGGGAGCAGACGGGGAGGACAGTGGGAGGGAGAGCGTCTGGTCGACTGGTTGGCCGACCTATTGGCTTGGCATACACACACACTCGCAATATCACAAGATTATAGGCTGTTTTTGTGCTACCTACACGAGCATGCTTACAAACTTCGTCTTTGTAGTGATGACAAGTTTTTGTGTACTTCATTAAATTCATTTCGTAAGTTTCTTTTCCGATTATGGAATTTTCTTGGAAGCAGTGACTAGTCCAGATATCGATCAGCGTTACTAGAAGCAGAGTTGAGCGATCATCCAAGAAGTAGATACAGCCTTCAAGTGTTCTCATTGCCAAGCTTCCAAGCGTAAAGGTCATTCAGTTGTTGCTACAGCAAATAAGAATGCTTGTCGAATTGCGCACGTATTTTTGAATATCTACCGAGAAGACAACATTTCAACACTTTAAACATATAAAAGAGTGATAACGGTTGTATTAGGTGCCAGTGCCATTGATAACAAGAGTGATATTTCTACAAATGAAGGAAACACCACGAAAAGATAAAATTGTTTGATAATAATAATAACGAAAGATAACATATCAGGGTAAAAGATAATACTAACACCAATACTGAGAACGGGATCATCACACCATTATGGATATCTAGATCATCTTCTCAAGCTAGATATAATTGACAATGAACTCCACGACTACTCATACAACTGATTAAACAAATTATGCAAAGTTACGATTGTGCATTACTACAGATTTCCTGCGTCTTGATTGAGTCGACTAGTCTGTTCACCTTCAATATTGACCTTGCAATGGCTTCAATGTCAACATTATGGAAATTCAACTAGGATAAACGATTAAGTACTGGTTAATATTAAGCGTCGAAATTTTTTCGTAATAACCCATCAAATATTTTTATTGCTTCTCTCATACACTTAATCGAATTGGATAAAGATGTTAATCGGTTATTAACATTGGTTATTGTGATTGAGTTTTATTTAATGAGTGATGTGCGTGAAAACCTTAGAAATAAATAATCTAATAGTATTTCAAAAATTAAACTAATTAAACAAGTTATTGTTAAAAAGGCATCATCGATTTATTGTTTACTCGGAAGTAATTAATGGTAATTAATTATGATAACTTTGTTGATAACTAAGTAGTGAATCTTAATTAAATGAAGAAGATTTCTCTATAACCTTAAAGTATGCTTGGTTTAGTTAGTGACTGCAAAAGAGATGGAGTTAATTATTGAAGAAAATCCAAATACTTTGTATACACAGATAGACCGATGTGCCATATTGCTCATGCTAACGTATCCGAGATAAATAAAAATAAAGATGTGGATAATCTTCGTGGGGGTAACGTACTTGTTTGGTGAGCAGTCTATCTCGCTTACGCCTGTTTGTTTCAAGTTTCTTTTAGTTTCTTATTCCTACGCCAAGTCATCGCCTTGCGAGTACTTTATTTTTAATGGCCACGACCGCCGCGTATTCTCGTAGCAAATCTGCCAAAACCTTTGACTGAGCTTTCGATAAGACTTCTTCTTTATCACAAAATATTATTCATAATTTTCTGATGTATTTTTCCACTCTTATTGTTGACTATAATATTACTGTAGCGGCCAGCAAAAGAGAGATTGATGGACGAACGTGTAAATCCATCAATGCCTTTGCATGCCGAGTACCTAGGTACTTTTATTTCAATATTCAATTAGGTACTTTTCAAAATTAATGACGAACAACAACAATTTTCCCGCGATAAAATGCTCAATGTTTTTTTTTTCATTAAACAGCTTTCTATTTGCGATCCTGCTCGAAATTTAAATAAAGGGAGATATGAGTTTACTATGTAATGTATTTGGCAGCTAAGCCACGACAGCAGTGCTATTCTTTAAAATTTTCACGTCCTTTTATTATTTTTTCTTTTTCTATATATAGATCCGATGAATCCGCGCGTATCTATATAGAAACCGCGTGAAAAATTTACAGAATAGTACTGCTGCTATGCATATTCATACAACTTTTGCCGACCGGGTCGCTGCGCTGCCTGCATTTGGCTAGTATAGCAATTTCGATTTATCTCAAAGAAGGTTGTCAAAATAATGCTTAAAATGTAGTGAAAAATATATTTGCAAAAATGATTGCTGCTTTAATCTCACGAATTTCTGATTGCAATTCATGCTTTGGCCATTGAAAATATTTAAAAAGTTAATTTACTGTTTTATGTTTCGGCGAGTCCACGTCGTACGTGTCAGGTTTTTACAGATCATTACAATCCGATGCGGCGCGCATGTGAGCACATCGTCGCTGGCACTCTGAGACTGGACCTGTTCGAGAGAAAGTGGCAATTTTCAAGCTATTACTTTCCAAGCAGTCAAGTTTGGTTGGGTTTGTTCGTGTATAGGCGCTCGTCGGAGATTACCGTTACCCCCTTTTGGGCAACGAGGTCGTACATAAAGTTCGTTATTCGTATGTTTTAACTTCAGTTTTCACTTGTTTTGAACGATTATGTAAGTGGTGTCACTACTTACTGGTTGGATTACATTCTAACAACAACAACCGACCGACATTAGTAGGTACCTATGCAATTGGAAAAGGCCTAAGTAAACTTTTAAAAAATCGATGTTGTGTAAGTTAATGTAAAAAGAGTATTCGTTTGCAGAACATATTCATTTAGTTACGTAAAAAAATATGCATTGAAACGATGATACAGTTGCTTAAGTAAATATTTACACTCTACCTACATTACATTCCAACACAAGTCTGCAAAAGAACATGTGTCGATGTCGTCTCATTGAAAACTGCTAATATAACTTTTTTTACCTAAAAGGTAAAGAATTTGAGGTCAAATGAAGCTCTCCGATTCCGACCATTTTCAGACTTCCTTATTATTCAACTTAAAAGAAAACATTTTTTAGACATCTCTCTAGACATATATACTTTGGAACAATTAATTATATTTGTCTATACTAGAGCATTGATCTAGAATTGGAAATTGGCACCAACCAACTGGGGACTCTACCTTGATCTGTCTATAGGAAACAGAAAAAAATGCCAAAGATGGTGAATGGTCATTACTAAAATTTGAAAATAACTAAAATAGACCCGAGTTAATTAAAGTTTATGAAGAAGAAGAAACAGAACGATTAAAAACGAGTTGAATGGGTATGAAATTTCAATAGCTCGCAATCTCGCATTCACGGGGAATAAGCAAACGGGGTATGATGTTAGTTGAAGTCGGATCGGGGACGCAGGCGTCGACGTTGGCATAATGGGTCACGCCGGGATCCGGCCCCGGTCGCCGTCCTGGGCGACGCCGCTCGCCGTCTCGTGTCTACGTCGGCACTCGGGAGGTATTGCCCTCTGCCACCTAGCAACCTGAAGTGCCAGCGTGAAATATGTACTTCTAACAGACGTCGATCATCGTAACTTTTAATATTATATACCTATGCGAAAATGAGTTTAATCGATACGGTCGGTGGATTTTATAAATGCGAAAAAGTATAATTGACGGAGACGGTTATAGGCTGCTTTATGCCGTGAAGATAAAACAAGGAATTATAAAGGGGATGAAATATTAGCACAAACGAATTATCTACAGCACGCAAACAAAGTTAAAAAAATGGGTGCGTGTACTTATGTAGGCGCGTGAGAAGTTATCCTTCTTTGGCATCGTTTAAAATTAGTTTTTAATTGCATGCAAATAATTAATTACAATAAATTAATAAAAAGTCTGGAAAAGGACACAGTCAATAAAGTTCAGTTTTAATTTGAAAAAATAAATAAATAATCAAAATATTCAATTAAAATCGCTACTGAATATAATTTATTAGAACATATGTGATTTGCATTTGTATGAAACTCAAACACGTATTCCGAATATACAAACTAGAAACATGTGGATAAATATTATAAATATGAATACCTATAACTGTTACTTTATTACAAAAAATAAAGATGTGGTTTTTGGTTCTACTACACCAATGGTCAAGAGATGGCGCTGTAGTCTCATGAATCGCGCTTTGGTTCCGTTGTTCCAGATTAATAAATACTTTTGATAGGCCTTCACAATGCAGTCGTTAGCACCCACACCCACTAAATAGAGATTCTATTTCTATTTTGTTGGTAGATTTTCTTAATGTGCGGTAAACACAAAAGTAACAGCATGAAGTTGGTCGCTAATCCGTTTTTCATACAGTAAGAAATACTACTGTAAGAGATAATCCGTGTAGGAAAACTGATATCATCGAATTACTAACATGTTGTTGTATAAAGGACAATAATATAATAATCTGGCAGATTTTTCCTCCTACAACATAATTATACGAAAACATGCTGATGAATATACAAAATTAGCATTTTTTTCATTTGGTATGAAATCGAGTATGGCATCTACACCATATAGGCTACGGCGCTTCCGAAAGTAAACTCAACATCTATAAATCAAACAAAATCCAATGTTTTGATACATACAAAGACTGCCCCTAAATCATAAATCATATTTTCAAGTGCCTAGGTATAGTGAGAATAGGGATGATGACTAATTTTTTTTTCTGCGTTTATCAGGTAGATTATCAAAAAGTATTGGACACGTATTTTTTCTTTTTTCACATAATATAAACATTGCAGAGATATATTGATTGAGATTGAAAGTCGCATGACATCACATCAGCGAATATTCACTAAAAAGTGACGTCACGAGCCCCTACTCCCAAACTTTGACGCGTTATAACTTTGTCATTTTTTGGTTGATTGCCCAAA